GACGCTGTGGCTCAAACATCAGAACCCTTGTGCGGGTGGCATACGCCTGCCTGGACAGTGTTTAGTTCTGACGTACACAGGGTCGCTGTGAATCAGCACCATGTGTGTACACTTTCAAAGTCAGTCTTTCCATTTTCCTAATCTGTTCTGAATAATTCTATGACCTTCAATTTACACCATATCAAAATGTCAATTTTGACACCCTTGAACAACTTAAATTGTGTTCTATTTCAATATTCAGTTTGGCAAAAAAAAAAGACGTGTAAAGGGGAAAAAAATCAAGGCTATCATGTGAGAGGGTCCAGTGAAATTATGATAGGACAGCCCTTCTATCCTCACAGAATTAGCAGGTACATGCAGGTCACGATGAGAGAAAAGTACTTAGTGCCGCTTTCCTGACCTTTTGATCACCAATGCAATTTTCAATTGCCTTAAAATTTCTTCCTAATAAGCCCTAAGATTTTCTTATGTCCTTCAAGAAAATGTATCAAGATTATCCTGCTGGAATCCCAGCAATGAGCTACCATAACCTACTGAGCTGACCTCTGTAATACACCTTCATTCTCAAGCATTTGATTTGCGAAGGGCTGAGGTGTGCAATCACCATGAATCAGAATCCAGTCGATGGCAGTGAGTGTGGAGTTTGGGACGGTTTACAGTGTCAGAGTCTTCAAAACCCAGAGGAGCAGTTCTACTGTGTCCTATAGCATCGTTATGAGCCAGAGTTGATGCAATGGCAGGGAGTTTATTGTTTACAGCAGGAGTCCTAACTCCATTTTGAGCCTTAAAGTGAGTTCAGATTCCATTTGAGGTCCTGCAGACTGTTTACCAGCAATGTGGTATCTTTGCTGTCAGGCAGAGTGCCTTTGAAAGTAGATTACAACTCTTGGGCCAGACTAGGGCAGGGGCAGTCTTGCTCTTAGGAAACTTTCCTGGGCATGTCTTTAATAATTTACAGATGATAGCCCATGCCATCCACAAATAAGGCACTAGTAACTATGACTCAGGGCCACATGGTTATGAGTTGTATACCTCAACTACCATGTAGCCAGTGGTCAAAGCCAAGCACCAATCCTGTAAACATTTCTAATCTGCAACTGTGTGCATATCACAATCATGATCCTCTCCCCATATCTGTAGTGCTTCCTGCAGCAATAATGAATTAATCTATCATCAGTCATGTGAATATATAAATCTATGTATATGTATAAGTTATACATATGTACTTATACAGATATGTATAAATAGATTCATATCAAGATGATTCACGCAGCTATAGAAGTCGGTAAGTCTAGTCCAATTCAAATCTATGCGTCAGATGTTAAGCTGGAGGCTTTTCTTGATCCTAGAGGTTGATGAACCAGGGGACAGGAAGGAGGAAGAGGAAGTCCACAGTTGGTGGATACAGGGGCAGGTGACTCCTAGGTCAGTAGACCAGGTACAGGCAATAGGGAGGGCCACTGGCTCAAGTTCAAAGGAGCAGAGATGGATGAACCAGATATAGGATCCAGGCCAGCAAGAAGTAGGACATTCTCCACTTCGTGCCTATTCATATGTGAAGTAGGCCACCATGCCCCCTCCCAGCCGTACCCCTTCCTCCCGCCTCAAGGCTATGATCTGAGTAAGGGGTTGTACACCACCCTAACCTCTCCAAAACTGCTTGGGTACTCACAGAAGATCTTATCCTAGAAATGTTTATATTATGTTAGGTTACATCATAAGGGTGGCCTCAACTGACAAACTACTGAGAATCTTGATCCAGAGAAGTTGGCACAAAGTCTATCACACCAAAGATCATCTTTGTCCTAAAACAACAAAAAACTTGACTAGCATCAAGTCAATGCTAATTCATAATGAACCCCTGTGGGTTTGAGACTGTAACTATTTGCAGGAGGAGAAAACGTCATCTTTCTCCAGTAGAGCAGCTGTTGGTTTCCAACTGCCGACCATGCAGATCACAAACAACTCATAACCACTACACCACTGGGGTTCTTTGTCCTATAAAAGTGGGTCTATTTCAATAAGGAAGTCTCTATTGAAGATGTTTAAATTTGAGCTCGCCTTGAATTTAATCCTAAAGAGACTATGGCAAATATATTAGTGAGAAAATAACATCTATAGCTATCCACTGATGTCAATGACATGCTTAAGTACATTTGTAGTAAGTCTCTATATGCATGAACTGGAATATTAGCAGCAATACTTTCTGACTTACCTTTGTACATACTTAACTTAAAAACAGTGGCTAAAGGATGTATATCCTGTTTTCTGTAATTCGTACTCTCATACATGTAATGACACTTAAATTCTGTGGGCAGTTTTAACATTTTGAGCTCCCTCGTATCATTGATTTCCATGAGAATAAAAATCCCATTTCTTTTTTCATCATTTTACACTGCTTGCAATAGTGCTTGGTCCATAATAGGATTCGTATAAATATATATATTTAAGTTGGGGGGCTGGGGGAAGTAGACATAGACAAACATACACCATATTCAACAATTTCTACATTTACAATTCAGTGACATTGACTACACTCTTTACATTTTAATACCATTCTCACTATTCTATTCTAAATTGCTTTAACGCTATTATCTTTTTTTTTACATTTGTCATTTTTTAAATCATTTTATTAGGGGCTCATACAACTCTTATCACAATCCATACATACATCAATTGTGTAAAGCACTTTTGTACATTCATTGCCCTCATCATTCTCAAAACATTTGCTCTCCACCTAAGCCCCTGGCATCAGCTCCTCATTTTCCCCCTCCCTCCTTGCTCCCCAACACTATTATCTCAAACTCACTATTTCCAGGTTCCCAAGTAACTTTTCATGTTGTCATTGTCAATTTGAACTCATATTGATAATTATGTAAAGAACCAATGCTAAAAGCAGACATACCTTACTAAGTAATGAAAATATGCCACTTTGGGGTTGAAAGAAGATTCCAGGAGTCAGTTTTGGGTTAGTGTTTAAGTTTAAAGATGACCCCAGGGCAGGAGTTCTGAGAACTCATCCACCCTCAGTGATTCTAGAAAGTCTCCTCTCAATTGACAATTTGATATCCTGGTCTGTATCCCACCCCTAACCTCTGTTTTTAATCAAATTCTTCTACAAAATCTTTGTTCAAAATGCTCAGTCATGACAGAAACGCACAGAACTTACAAGTTTTGCAAATATTTATAAATAAATAATGAAGCTAAGAATGGAGTAAATTAATACTTAAAGTGAGTAAGTTAATTATATACATTTATATGTGTGTATAGATATACATATATGATATACACATATGTATACCAATAATCACATCTTAAAATAAGAAATTAGGTAATCCTAAAAATTAATGCCAATTCACATTTAATACTTATTTTCCCCTTTCTTATAAACAACTTTCTAATGTACAAGATAACAATATATATAATATGAAAAACACAAATTGGCAAATCAGGTTTGTAAATAATTCCATTAAAGTAATTTATTTTTATTTTTCCTTTTTTATACTGATTTTCAAATTGTAGCTTAAAACACACAAAAAAGTACAAGATGATACAAAATAGGTTAAAACAAAACACAAAAACTACAAACTATTTTTTAAAATTCTGAATCAACTTATATTCAAAATATTTACTCATAAGCATTTTATTTTATATCTTAGTAACACTAAATCAAGGATCCCTGACAATAATCAAAAGCAAGTTATTCTTCCTGGAAAGTGGATTTTTAAAAAATTCTATGACTTATTTAATTCAGATCAATTCAAATTTTACATATAATGGGAAAAATTTAGAGACCTCTTACAGCTTTAAACTCCAGAATACAGTTCAGCACTGTAATGAGGGTATGAATTCAAAATTAAAGCAAACCAAGTTAGTTCTGCTACAGGTATGCTATGTCAATACTGGTTTTAAGAAGCACACAGAATTTTAAGTGGCAATATGATAACATAAAAATAAAGTCTGAAACATAAGCCACCAGCCAGAACTTAGTGAAACATACAGCATCATAATTGTATTGGGCAGGCAGTGCTTTTGCATAAAGTAGACAATAGCAAACTCGTCAAGACACTACAGGAAAAGTAGTCAAAGAATAACTACAAGCAGAAATTGGCGGAATATTTTCAGAACTCACAGAAACAGTAAGAAAACAAAAGGAATGATTTTGAAGTCACAGAAACAGTAAGAAAACAAACGGAATGGTTTTGAACTCCCCAGAAGCAGTGCTGTAGCAACCACTGAGATTTAAAGGTGGCTGCCTTCGGAACAAGCAGAAGGCTCGTAAACACAAGCACAATTTCCCACCGTCCTCTGGGATAACACGCCAGATACATATATCTCACTCATGCCCACTAGGTGAAGGAAGTCAGCAGTTACTAGTGGTTTCAACCATAACACTGAAAAGTAGTATCTGTGCATTTTATTTTAAAATCAAGAAAAAAGTCAATTAAATCCACCATACAGAGAGAAGAGCATCTCATGTTCAAAAATGTATTGTTATTTAGTCAGATTCTGCCAAAAGATCTGTTGCTATCCCATTTTAGCATTGTGTAGGGAAGCAAAAAGAGCGCTTCCAAAAGTTTCTTTATAAAATGATAGCCAAGGTTTCCATATAAGAAGTAAAATATCATTTTGGAGGAATCTATATTTCTTTAGAAAGTTTTCCGAAAACTTTGAAAGGAATGATTAGCACAATCATAGATTATCAAACTGTAGGATGAAAAAGTATAATGAAATACAGTCCCACAATGTAACCCAAGTGAAAACACAAATAAGAAGTTATAAAACAGCTTTCTTTTGTTTTATGGAATAATGTTGCCTTCATGTCATAAATTAAGCCAAAGCACACATCCTTGATAGAAAGTCAAAGGCTTTCTAATGCTTTTTCCTGACCTTAAAATATAATCATGAGGCTTCCTTTCCACCTCTACCTTCCAAACCCTTCTGAAGTCATGCAGCACTTCACATACACACACACACACACAAAAGGGAATGAGTCTTACCAGACCATCACAGTTGCTAATGGCAACAGAGGTTCCTGGAATGGCCATGATGTCACCAACATATGCACAGTTAGTCTGCAAGGGCTCTGTTTTCCAGATCCTCTCTGGAGCTCTTCCTGGTTGATGCTCATTGATGGAGTCATTTAGGTTCTCAGGTACCAGAGGTGTCTCATGCCATTCCACAACAGCCCCAGGAGCTACGAGTTGATTATTGGGCTTTAGTCTGAGATGAAAATCTCTTCCAAATGCTGTGATGTTAAAAAACAACTGCTCTGGGTTGGAAGACACGTCCCTTGTTGACCTCTTTCTGTGACTTGCAGAAAGAATATGGGAGAGATAGTGTCCTTCCAGATTTGTGCTGACTGGAGTCACCAGCTCATACTCTCTCTGTCTCTTTACTGGTAAATCTGTGGAGTGAAAAATAGAATTACAGGACTTTGTGCAACAAAAGAACACAAGAAGAGATAGCACAGAAATAAAGTGCCTATACATCAGTTTATATAATCAATGAATTCCTGATTCATCTGTATTTTGATAACTAAAATCATTCTTCAAAAGCATTTAGACAATACCTGTTCAATAAATTGCTTTAAGTTAAAGTTTATCATCATGCGACAATCCATATCAAATGTATCTGTTTGTGAACATAAATTAGAATATTTCCATAAACTATATCTGACTAGCTTATATTCATGGCAATTAATTTATTGACACAACTGACATCTGCTAAAAGCTTTTCACAAAGTACTTCTATGTCAAAGAAATTTTTCCTGATTGCTTTAATGTTTTCCATGTAGAAATCCTAGAATTGATATTCATTTCAATAGCTAGATTACATTGTATCTACCTTGGACCTGTAGTTAATACACATGATTCATGGCATCTGCATAATTGTCGTTTATGGCACTGTTCCTATCATAGCTTTAACAGCCACACTTCATAAGAAAACTGAGAATCAGGAGGGTATGTATCCAAGATCAGTTATAAATCCAAGTCATAATCCAAAGCTGGTACATCATTCTCACATGCTGTGATATGTTGTATAAATCAAGGAATGATTTTAGAAAATGAAGAGGCAATAAAGGAGAAATTGTTATTTACAAATTGAACATTCAAGCTAATCAAGGAAATGCTTTTCTCATTCTGCACCATATCCTTTATATGGGGCAGACATGCTGTTGAATAGTAAGATATTAACATTTGGGGGCATGTCTTATAGAATTGGTGGCTACTTACATGTTAAACTTAATTTCACAATTAGAATTAGACAAATTATTTCACATATTTGTCAAATATGAGTCTATGATTACTAAACAAATATCAATAGGAGAGAACATATTGAAAGAACCATTTATTCTTTAACAGAAATTATTTTGAAGTCTGAAGACAGTGGATATTAGTGAGCTACAAAGGAAAAAGAAAGAGCTGAAAACAAAAATAACTTAAATCATATCATCCTCACCCAAAACTAGTCCTGTAGTGTTTTCACCCAAAGGCCCACTGCCATTTAGTTGATTATGACTCCTGGCGACCCATGGGGCAGAACAGATCTGTGCCCTTTAGGTTTCCAAATCTGTAAATCTTTACCAGAATAGACAGCCCTCTCTTTTCCCCTGAGAGTAGCTAGCTGATCTTTAGGTTAGCAGGTGAATATATAACCTGCTGTACCAGGGCTCCTTACAGAGCGTTAGAAACCAAGAACAAACGTCGCTGTTAAATTCACTGCTATGAGTCAAGTCAGACTCAGAGCAACCCTACAGGACAGAGGCGAATTGCCTCTGTGGGTTTCTGAGACCCTAGCTCTGTCCAAATGAAGAATGCCTCATTTTTCTTCTATGGAGTGGCTGGTAGTTTCTAACTGCCAACCTTGCAGTTAACTGTCAAATGTGCAACTGCTATGCCACCATGCACACATTTTTATGTTTTAATCAGTAATGTATTTAGAGTATGAAATCCATTTTTAAAAACCTACAACCAAAGCCCTTGAAGTATCTTTGTCGAATCCTGATACTTTTGTTATTTTCCTAATTTTTAAATACCTCAAGCAATTTGTAAGGAACTAGAAGAAATATGAAGGCATTTTGCAACTTAGGAAGTCTTAAGCGTGTGTTTGTACCATCATGTCACTCATATTGACCAATGTATTTAAACAAAGCTATGTTTCTTTGTTAATGTCCTCACATATATTCTTCTCTAGGCAGAGAAAGAGTGACGGTCCTAGTATAAGACAGCAAAGTGAAATAGCACAATCCTTTCTTTGTGGGCTATGTCATAGTAAGTACACAACAGTAGGCATTAGAAAGTTAGTACAGACACTGACTCAATTTCTCTTACAGTCAACTCCATGGTAAATATTTTTGTAAATCTTGATTCAGAGTAAGAACTCAAAGATGCAGGGCATACGCACAGTGTCACAGGAACAGAGTGATGGAAAGTTGTTATAGAAAAGGATGGATCAAGCTCTGGGATGGCAAAGTTGCCCCAAATCAACTAAAAATTGGTTGACAACAAAATGGTGGTCGAAAATCACCCCTTACAAATGTTGATATTTGCCAGGTTCACTTATCATTTCAATGTGTTCAATATTTTTTTTAAATTAGTAATGTAGGTAACCAGAGAATCTTTGCTATGTCTGTACTGATACACACACTGTGATTAACAAAAACATTACCCAAGATCTGCAAGTGCCTGCTTATATCAATATTCAGTGGAAGAATCCTTGACTTCTACTCAGGAGACCCTGCACAAAACCTCTTTTAAGTTGAAGCACAAGAATGTTACTTTGTAGACTAAGGTGCCACTAACCCAGGCCATGGTATTTTCAAGTGCTTCATACACATGTGAAAATTGGACACTGAATAAGAAAGATCACAGAAGAATCAATGCTTTTGAATTGATGGCAAAGAATACGGAAATTACCATGGATCGCCAGAAGAACAAACAAATCTGTCTTGGAAGGCGTACAGTCAGAATGTTCCATGAACTCAAAATGGGGAGACTTCCTCTCATGTACTTTGGACATGTTATGGAGAGAGGCCAGTCCCTGGAAAAGGACATCAGGCTTGGTAGAGTGGAGGGCCAGTGACAAAGTGGCAGACCCTCGATTCGAAGGATTGGTGCCATGGCTGAACAATGAACTCAAGCATAATGATTATGAGGATGGCACAGAGCAGGGTGGTGTTTTATTCTGTTAGCTGATGTGATGGCATATAATAACAATAATGCAGGAGATCCAGGTTCAATTCGCAGCTAATGCAACTGATATGCAGCCACCACCCATCTGTCAGTGGAGGCTTAACTGTTGCTACGAATGCTGAGTAGGTTCCGGAAGAATTTCCAGACTATATAGACCTGGAAGGAATCCCTGGTGATCTATTTCTTAAAAAACAAACAAACAAACAATGAAAACTGTGGATCACAGTGGTCCAATCTACAACTCATGGCAGTGGATCAGGACTGGTCAGAATTTAGTTCTATTTTGTATGGGATTGTGATGCTTTAGGGTGACTCACTGAGAATTAACAAGAACAAGTACAAGGCACTATGTCTTGTGACCAATGATCTAGAATCATCAAACAATCACACTAGATAGGGTTTTCTCATCCCTACTCTGCAAATGAGAAAATTAGGCCTAGCAGGCCTAGCCCATAGCAAGAAAGCACACAAGGTAAGTTTCAATTATGACCACTTTAACTCCAAAGATCAAACTATTACTCACTTCAGAGTAGATAAGTTGTCTTGCTGTAGATATCTAAATTTAAGATCTGACTTACAAAAGAAAAATTGCCTCAAAATGATATTGCTCTGCCTACCCACAGTCAGTCAAATAATTGTTCCTCTTTTGTAGTTTTAAGTATTGCTGTCAAAGGATCTTAAATTCTGGTCTTTGATGACAAAGGGGAAATAGATAAGCAGATTACATTATATCCGGTGCTAATTTACTACACTGTCAGGCCCCGCTCTTTCCACAGTATTAGAAAGCAAGCTAAGCAATGTCTGACTTCAACAAGTTCTTGATTTTCTCTTATGTTGCTTTCTCAATTGCAAACATATTATTTCCTCAATTGTAAAGAAGATGTTAGTAACAGGTCCTTCTTCACAGACTAAGTGAGAGGTTAGAACGGTATTATGCAAAAAATTTGATAAAGGTTATTACTAATTTCCAGATTTTTGGTGGCACGGTAGTTAAAGCTCTCAGCTGCTAGCCCAAAAGTCCGCAGTTGAAGATCACCAGCAAAGATGTGGTAGTCTGCTTTCTTGATAAACATTTGCAGCCTCAGAAACCCGATGGGACTGCTCCACTCTGTCTCTACAGTTGCTGTTGAGTCAGAATCAACCTCACAGCATTATAATTTGGGATGGTTAATATACATATGCATAAGCTACTCATTAAAATAACAACCACATTCAATAATAAAATTTTAAACTATACAACTGTCAGTTTAGATGGATCATAGCAGTATATATGTAAAGGTTTTTCATAGAGTAAGTCCCACAGCAGAGAGGACCAAAAACATTCTAAAGCCACATGTGGTTATTAACTGCCCAAGGATATAATGCTTCAAACTACTAGCATCTGTACATACACGGCCCAGCTCTCTTCTGCTACTATGGCTGAAATGTCTGCCCTCTTACCACATCCTCACATCTTGCCTTTCCTTGTTCAGCAATCACCTCTCTTCCCTCATCAAGTTTTCCATATACCTTTACAACGATCATTCCTGAAGAGCAAGATACCATTTTTAACAAAGCCTTCTCCCGATGCCACATTCTCTGCCTGCAAAAATACTCCATCTCTTCATTCCCCTCTACACTTAAACACTTCACATTGATGACTATATATATGTACAATTTTTCTCCGTCCATTATTGTTCCTGAATCACTCCACTCATTACTGGACAGGTCACCTGTGACCCTGTGATGCGGAAGCCCATGGCCACTATTGTTTCCTTACTTGCCCTTTACACTGCAACTGGCCCAGCTCCTTCCTTATTGCTAAACTTTCTTGATTTAGCTTCCAGGACACAATGGCATTCTCTTCTGGTTCTTCTCTTACTTTACTTGCCACCATTCTCATTCTCTCCCTTAGGTCCCTTTATTTCCATGACCTTTGTACCCTGAGGATCACCCAAGCCTGGTCCATGATCTTTTCTCGATCTCTCTATTCTAATCATATGCTTTTCATAAGCTAATATCTTTTGTTCAGGCATCATCGATGAGCTCCTCTCATATATATCCAATTGCCTTAAAGTATCCTCCTCTAAGTATTAGCTGTGCATCTCAACTACACATCTCCAAAACAAAATTCCCAATCTTTCCCCCTCCAGTCTGCTTCTCCCAAAGTGAGTCCCAGCTCAGTAAATGACACTGTCCTTCACATTGCCTACCCAAAATATGACTAACCCAC